CCTAATTCAAAGTGACTAAACGGTGCCTACAAATGATATAGCGTCCGAATTAGGAGATAAACATCATGTGTTGGCGAATTTCCGGGTGTTATTGAGTATTTGAAGCACGGGAATTCATTTGGAACCGACGGCGTCAGCCGGAGGTTTCAAATGAAATATTTCCTTGCTTCAAATACTCAATAACACCCGGAAATTCGCCAACACATGATGTTTATCGACATTGTAAACACAAAAGTAAACCGAAAGGTCGACACACGATTTTTGTGTCTGCTCTCATTGACATCGAGTACGGGTACAGCAGTGAAATGTCATCAGCCGGCCGTTTCGGCTGTCGCCCATGGTAGAATCTGGAACTGCTCATTTGTGACGTCATTCGGACTTAACGTCACAATATGATTTTAATCACGTCATCACAGCTGACGACGTAACAATACAATGGTGTGAGCGATGTTTGTATGTATTAATACGCAGAGAATTTCCGGGAATCAAATACCATTTGATCACGTTTTTCAACCAATCAGATTAAAGAACACAGTGACTTTTGGTTTACAATACCTGTTAACGTGCAATATGCAGTAGATATTTTATTCGACATTATTTCACGATGTCAGCTGGCCACACACGCGGTGCGTACTAACTAACGATTTTATGAGCGCTTAACATATCAATTGTTTTCACAGGAACAAACTGAGATAGGTTTTCTGTTCAGTATTGCTCCTATCAGTATATACCTGTGCAGCGGAGTCAGACGGGTTTATCGTATGGGTGGTCAGGTCGGATCATCGTAGGCTATGTTACAAAGTCATGTAAGATTACTATGTTATAGTGTAAGTTAAGATTACCGTGCACCTGATGAAACATCAGAGAAGATATAGTCTATCGTCGAAGCAGATTCTATTGGACGGAAAACGCAATAAATACGGTTAAAATTGTATGAAAAAGTTACCGAAAGGTGATGATTTCAGGTGTTTATGAGCAAGCATAACATGTTCTATTGGGCGTTCTCAGCACTCGCATATATTGCACAAATACATTAAGTGTTTGTTTGTTGCCTAATGCAGCCCGTCAGTACTTCGGCCATACGGCGACTTGTAAATAAACCAGATAACCAAGTGATGCAATCACCCATTAGCAATGCAAACTGTTGAATAGGCATTCAAGAAGTGACGAAATAAGGTTACATACAACCTTATCAATGTTAACAACTTCTTCCTTTGATTCATCCAGCGATACAGACAGCGATATACTAAGAACAGATCATTAATTTAATCGTTCAGCCAGCAATTTAGCAATCGGAAGTCATCCATTCAACCGATAAGCCAAAACTGTAGAAAGTACAATTCATTCAGTCAACAGTTCAACCAGCAATGTAGCAATCGGAAGTCATCCGTTCAACCAAAAGGCCAACACTGTAGGAAGTACAATTCATTCAGTCAACCGATAAGCCAGCAATGTAGCAATCAGAAGTCATCCATTCTACTGACAAGCCAAAACTGTAGAAAGTACAATTCATTCATTCAACAGTTCAGCCAGCAATGTAGCAATCGGAAGTCATCCATTCAACCGATAAGCCAATAGAAAGTACAAGTCATCCATTCAACCGATAAGCCAAAGTCGGAACAAGATAAGTACTGTAGAAAGTACAATTCATTCATTCAACCGATAACCAACACTGTAGCAGTCGGAAGTCATCCATTCAACCGATAAGCCAACACTGTAGAAAGTACAATTCATTCATTCAACCGATAAGCCAACACTGTAGCAGTCGGAAGTCATCCATTCAACCGATAAGCCAACACTGTAGAAAGTACAATTCATTCATTCAACCGATAAGCCAACACTGTAGCAATCGGAAGTCATTCATTCAACCGATAAGCCAACACTGTAGAAAGTACAATTCATTCATTCAACCGATAACCAACACTGTAGCAGTCGGAAGTCATCCATTCAACCGATAAGCCAACACTGTAGAAAGTACAATTCATTCAATTCATTCATTCAACCGATAAGCCAACACTGTAGCAATCGGAAGTCATCCATTCAACCAACAAGCCAACACTGTAGAAAGTACAATTCATTCATTCAACCGATAAGCCAACACTGTAGCAGTCGGAAGTCATCCATTCAACCGATAAGCCAACACTGTAGAAAGTACAATTCATTCATTCAACCGATAAGCCAACACTGTAGCAATCGGAAGTCATCCATTCAACCAGCCAACACTGTAGGAAGTCATTCATTCATTCAACCGATAAGCCAACACTGTAGCAAAGTCACAATTCATTCATTCAACTGTAGAAAGTACAATTCATTCATTCAACCGATAAGCCAACACTGTAGCAGTCGGAAGTCATCCATTCAACCGATAAGCCAACACTGTAGAAAGTACAATTCATTCATTCAACCGATAAGCCAACACTGTAGCAATCGGAAGTCATTCATTCAACCGATAAGCCAACACTGTAGCAAGTACAATTGCTATGATTATTCCTATTAACAAATTAACTCATAACAATCAGAACCAAAACACTCTGGTTGAAACAATACAGAACACAAAACGTTTGGAACGCTTCAAAAGTGAACATGCAAATAACGACACACGTCCATTAAAATCAATACCACCTGTACAGGCACGGTAAATTTACACACAAGCCACTGCTTACAATAGGCCTAAGGGACATAATATAGCAAATTTCATGCCTTCGTAACATGCAGATGTAATCAACTCACATTTCGATCTCACAACACCGTACCTTGAGTGACATTACAAGTGACAGTTTCGGGCTCAGGAAAACAAAAGGGTGTGGCGGAGAAGAGTAGTCCCCCATCGATAGTGAACGTTATCTCAGCAATGTCATATTCAAGCACACGGGTTTCTCCTAATTACAGACACAACATTTTTAGCTTCGGTCTATGGCGGAACATTGGAGATAAAACTTTCACACAAGTACAGATCGCCAATGTGCGAAGATTATCCAAACAATCTTCCGGTGACGACAACTGTATCGAAACGCAATGAGCGACACCGCCAAACAATCACACACTCACTTATTTTATGCTTGCAAGACGTACAATCATCTACATGGTAACATTGTCGGCATAGCGTGATTAATTAATTCCATGTGATCTTATCTAGTTTGCATTGTCATTATCGCCTTGGAGGAAACCTCTTTGTGGAGGGTCACCTTAGGAATGAGTAGCGATAGGAATCCAAGTGACGTCATTTGTGTTGTTTTGTGTAGGGGGCGCCACTATGATGAAATCTTCCAGTTAGGGTCCATGCAGGTAGCCAAAGTACTGTCCCCATGGTCCCTAGAATAGTGGTCTACATTCAGTTGTTGGCGGTCCTCAGCCTTTTTAATATTGTATTGTCCTAATCTGAAATCATATTTAAAGATATATGCTAGTTTTATTTCTTGATATTGTGATATTCTAGTCGGTTTTACTGTCCTTCGATGACAGGCTTTTATGATTTACCATAAATTACTATGTATAACAATTAAATGTTCTCGTCACGATATGGCTGAACTATTGCCGATGTGACGATAAATTATAACTCACTCACTATGATGAAATCTGAAATCTAGCTAGTCGACCATAAAATGCTGTGATTGTATGGTGTGTAAGAAAACATTTACGCTCGTTTAGAACAATACGTTGTGAGACAAATGGCATCTGTCTACTTTACCAGTTGCATCTGTCAGTGTTATTTAAATCTATCTTGGTTATAGGTAACATGTTTCCTAGTGATCAGTCAAGGTGTTAAGGTATAATTATTGTATTGTCACCGTGCGTAGGTGATAAGTTACAAACGTCTGTGTGAGCTACATCTGCCTATGTTTCAAATTACATCTGCCATTGATTTCTCCGACCGTCAGTGTGTGCTTTTCCCACCACGTTAAGATTTCTTTCCGACGACGTAAATCCAGTCTACTCTGTCATGTATTAATCTACAGAGAGGTGTCCCAATATGTCCATGCCTTAATTTTAAGCACCACTACTCCATTGGCGTATGTTAAACGAGTGTGAGAATCGGGTTTGCTCCTGGCAGTATTCCAACAAAATATCTGGCGCCAGAGATGTGTTTTAGTGCGTACTTCATATCATATCATCACTGACCTTAGGCGCTCCTTGAAAAACGGGGCGAGCGTTTCATGTTCTGAAGGGGGCACAGGGGATGTTGTTGGAGATAATGATATTTCCTTGGTCATTGCTTCAGAGATCCATTCATACTAGTCTCAGAACTAGTGTGTCTTTCACCCCCTGTGGAGTCTTTGTCGACAATAGAAACTGGATATCTTCTGTCATTAAAGTTATATTTTCATAAAATCCATTTATATATTTGTTGAGAAAGCCTGATATTTTACGTCGTTAGGATGAGAAAGCCACAGTGGCTGCAAGAGTTGTATACTGCCCAGGGAGTTGAGATTGATAATACGATGTGCCGTTGAGACTGACATCCAATGATCGAGGGTAAAAAATACCAGCGCCTTGAGCATGCACTAGTTGCCTGGATATTTGCGCTATATAAATATCCTTTTATAATAATAATAAAATATTTTCATCAATTACTGAAACGAAATAATTTGATTCCCTCCAGAAGTTCCCTGATAGGCAGTGAATGTTCGGACCAAATAAGACAGGTGAATGCAGCTTCCTTCGTGTTGAATGGACCTTGAATGGTGCCATACTAAAACTTTCTATACGCTCTGTCTTGACTGCGGCAGATTTACCTGTCGGCTGTAAAAAACGATTGTTAAAAAATGTGAAACATGAGCAAGTTTATAAAAGCTGTATCTTGCGGGTCATCGTCATATGTGCAACGAAAATAAACGTCGAGATTCCCCCTTAACATACCGGATAAGAACAAAGCTGAGAACATGGTTTTTAGTAGCGCTGCATGTATATTTCATCTCACGGGCTGACGTGTGGAACATGATATATCAGCGGCCCGGGCTTACGCTCCGAGGTTTCATTACACTGACTATTTTCCACGATATTCTACTTGCACCAACACCGGTTCCTGAGGCTAAGTAGGCCATGTTGAAGTGTTTCCAGTAGCGACCCGACTGGCTTGGGGCAGACCTTCACCATTAGGCCGATCACACGATGCTGGGCAAATGTCAGGTAATTTGCTCATCAATTTACGAAAGGTTACGTTTGTACCACTCGTTGTCCTTGCGTTACAAGTACTGGTTATATTCCAGTTCGCCTGTAAACGAGTGCCTGATGTTTGGGGAACTGGGATCGGTCGGCGGAGAGAACCATGTACCGCGAAAGATCTTACTTTAGGAAGTAATCTGACCTTTACACAGAATACAATTGATGCTATTCTCTGATGTAAGCATTTATCAAATTCTATTGACTCTAATATCATGATGTAAATCAAAGTACAAAAGTAAATGTTTTTTCTTTTATATCTAATTTTGACTGTTATCAATTTAAGGTATGTATGTCTTGGTTTACAGTTCAGAGGGGTTATCACATTGGCCATGTTTGCATTAACGCAAAAGATTCTTACTGCCTGGAATGATTGCTCGATTAAATGTTAAGGGATATGTTCAACTGATTCTTATAAAATTTCAGAGCTGAAATTCATGAATCTTTTATAGGACCAAGAGGCAGGAATACATTATATCGGAAGTAGGTTACTAGTATTTCGACATTCCCGGCTGCCGGGCCAGTTGTATGTGTGTATGGTTATAGGATAATGTGTGAATAATATGACAGACTTCACCATCAGTATTGTTAGATTTAACACACCCGTTGAAAATGCCATTGTCTAATACCAATAAGTCGATAATGGATATATAGGCGGAACTGCATTCTTTTTTCACAATAAATACTAAACACGTGCGAAGGTTACCAGGAATGGTTCTGAAATTCATGAAGCTGGTATTACAGGGGAGCGTGTTTAGTATTCTATATGTATAATCTACTCGTGCGTGTGTTAGGGAGTAAGGGGCGGTGTGGTAGCCTAATGGTTAAAGCGTTGGCTCGTCACGCCGAAGACCCGGGTTCGAATCCCCACATGGGCACAACGTGTGAAGCCCATTTCTGGTGTCCCCCGCAGTGATGTTGCTGGGATATTGCTAAAAGCGGCGTGGAACCAAACTCAGTCAGTCAGTCAGTTAGGGAGTAAATATTGTTTAGAGTTGCGTCAGCAGTGTTGTAGCTATTTGCGGCCATTCTTGTTGACCTTGTTATGAATCAGGTGTCGCGTACACAGTTGAAACAAGATCATCTGAACGATTATATATGTATACGATTTCTAATATGGCCGTAGAATCGACAAAATTGGATCAGTCTAAATCCGAGTAAATATCAGACTTGCTGATTTGGCTGATCTCCATGCTGACGCGCTCAATAATGCTGCTCATTATCAGCGGTGTGCATACATCAAAATGGATTATTTTCATGCCACCTCTCCTCTCCATAACTTCAGGTAATCTCCACTGTACTCCTTCATGTCTCATGTATTTGAATCGTTATCGAGTACTGATGACACCTGGTTGTCAGAGTAAAGGTGAGCATATCCTGCCCCGCAGGTGATACTCGTCTCTACACGTTTAAAGTTCAGTGTTCACAGGAGCAATCACTGATGACATAGCTAATTGCCTCGGACATTATTTTCGTCACTGTCACTTGGAACTTCCCGTCTTCTAAAACATTGGCTAACCTTTTCTCTAGAACGATAGTACAGAACAAGGGATCGATTTCAGAGCCGTGGGTTTTGTATCAAGTGCTTGAAACCTGTAATACATCGTTGATAGTGTTAGCTGTTTTAGTCTTTGTTGATATAAAAAATATTTATCACCGTCCACTGTAACCTTTCAAAGACGTAAGTAGTACAACATTAATGCTCTTTTTACGTTACTTTAGATTCAATCCTGTCACATGATTCTCATGTATCTCATTTTGTCAAAACCTGTTTCATGTCACCCCGCAACATTGGACATATTCGCCAATGTCTTACAGTTGAATCTGCCAAGACTCTTGTATTGTCACTTGTAATGAGTAAGCTTGATTATTGTAACTGTTTACTGGCCGGTGCATCAAAGACCCAGATAGCCAAGCTACAGAGAGTGCAGAAAGGCGCCGCCCGCATCGTGACTCGCTCTGGAAAATATGAACACATTACTCCTATACTGTACACTCTCCACTGGCTTCCAGTCGAGTTCAGGATCAAGTTTAAACTCTTATGCCTTGTTTTCCGCTGTCTCACTGGAACTGCGCCTTCCTATCTATCCAATCTTCTAACCGTGTACACGCCTTCCCGATCTCTCCGCTCACAGGATACGACCTTGCTTGTTGTTCCCAAAGTAAAGACAGTGCAGTATGGAAACAGGTCCTTTGTCCATGCAGGATCAATGGCCTGGAACAGTCTCCCACAGAGTATCAGAGACTGTTGTGACTTTCATACCTTTAAATCCAATCTAAAAACACACGCCTTTGAACTGTAGCTCTTTGCCTTACTTGCATTTTTATTTGTGCGCTTTGAGCATGCATAAGCATGTATATATGCGCGTTACAAATATGCTATTATTATTATTACTACAGTTCAAAGTTAGCTGTTATAGTAATATCATGAGATTGCAGGGTGGACTGAGTCTCAACATATTCGAGCTACTATTCGCATTGATGGTATAATGTCTCAGGAGATACAACGTCTGGTAGTTTTGCTGTCAATATAGGCAGCGCTCAAATAACTATATAGATATAAGGATCATTTTTATTTATCTACTGTGGGTTTATAGAGATATATCCGTTCCGAAAATAATTAGGGTAATTATACGTCTGTACAAACGTTCTGAAAACGTTGTCTAGTAGTGCCTCGTGGCACTCAGTCATTTCTAAGAACATAATGATAGACGATCGAGGTTATATCCTGAGCAATAACCCGTGGCATCTTGCACGCATATTGACATAACAATCTTACTGGTGCCTTTCATAATTGCTTTCTACAGTTATAAGACAGTCGGACAGTTCAAGTGGTAGTGATAGCAGACTTGGTTCGTGCCTTGGGTTCAAACCAAAACCCGTCCGTGATATAAACATTTTATTTACGAAACATCGGTTCAGGAAGCAGTACAAGCTCTGCAATATGGGGTTTTCAGACAGATTCATTTAAATATTTCATCTTATATAATCTCATATTCTCCCACGTAGCGTGAAATAATTCTGATAAAGCGCTCTATATGCTCTTGAAAAAAGTATCGCAATACCTACGATTTTGAACCGCCATGTAGCAATTTATGTATTTATATTTCTATCATAATTATGTTTGTTTGTATGATTATTTTAACCCATGGAGCGTACTATGATTTGATGTTAGATATGCACCTGCTACGATGAAAGGCGAGAACTACATGCAATATGTGTGCCCATCATTAAGCCACTATCACGCCTCAGTAGACTCGTCTTCAAATCAATTGAGTTGTTGTTGATAAGGAAATATTCGTCCTCCTCAACTGACAACTGCTCAAAGGTGGCATGTTGTCGATATGTGGTGTGTTGGCAACAGTGGCATGTCATTGAGGGCTATTGCAAGAGATCGTGGTTCTCATCCATCAGCTATGAGCCGATGGGCCAGAAAACGTCAGGGAACTAATGCCATTAATTAAGGACCGTCAGCGTTCAGGTTGACCACGGGTGATCCACAACTCCTAGGGAGGATACAGTCCTTCTCAAAATCTCAAAACTTCATCCGTTCATGTCAAATGGCATGTTGAAAACAGAGTGGATTCGTCGTTTGTGCAACAGAACGGTCGAAAATCGTCTCTAAACGGTCGGAAATTTATATATGACCTATCAGACGTTCTTTGTTATCCTCAGAGCACAAAGAAGCACGAGTAGCACAGTGTCAGGCTCGACGTCACTGGAACAAAATCTAATTTGGACAACGCTGATATCCTAGACATGATTTTAAAACCACGTTTCGATAAGCATACTTCAAGGCCATCATGGACGAACATGCTAGGCCACATCGTGCCGTTGCCGATATTTTACGTCAACGACGGTAGCAACTCTACTTGGGCCCACCAGCGCAGATATCAATACCATAGAGCATGTTTGGGAAATTATGGGTCGCAAAATACACCAGACTGAACATCCAAGACAAATTCTTGATGTATTGGAACAAGCCTCTATCAAGACCCGGGTTCGATTCCCCATATGGGTACAATGTGTCTGGTGTGCCCCACCGTGATATTGCTAGAATATTGCTAAAAGTGGCGTAAAACGATACTCACTCACTCACTAAGTGTGAACCGTTGCAAGTGTTACGACTGACTGCTTATGGTAGTATCCATGTCACGTTTCACTAACATCAGCACCAATAGTCGTGTAATAAGTGTTATAGACTAACGTCAGATAATGTTATGCTTTTCCTAACGTGTCACCCAAATAATGCTAGGCGATGCGTGTTATATTCCAATATCAATAATGTCATATGGTACGTGGGTTATACTTACATCAATACTGTTGTATAATACGTGTTTAATACCAACATCAATACTGTTGGGTAATACGTGTTAAATACCAACATCAATTCTGTTGGGTAATACGTGTTTAATACCAACATCAATACTGTTGGGTAATACGTGTTAAATACCAACATCAATACTGTTGGGTAATACGTGCTTAATACCAGCATCAATACTGTTGTGTAATACGTGTTAAATACCAACATCAATACTGTTGTGTAATACGTGTTAATACCAACATCAATACTGTTGTGTAATACGTGTAATACCAACATAAATACAACATCAATACTGTTGTGTAATACGTATTTACAACCATGATGAATACTGTTGTGCAATACGTGTTTACTACCAACATCAATACTGCTGTGCAATACTTGTTTAATACCAACATCAATATGTGTTTACTACCATCACCAGTACTGATGTACGTTGATGGTTCCAGTGAATACTATAATGAATTATATATTCTGAATCATATTATATTCATTGAATATCATCAGCGTTATTGGAAGCGTTCTACCTCCGTCCTGATGACACTGTTGTAGATAATGCTGAAAGGAATTGGCCATTTGTCTTCCTTTGTCAAATTATGCATTTGGTTAAAGCCGCAACATAAAAAAAAAGATTGCATTGATGGCTTCTTTTGCTCGGTACATACATAATGGAGTGCTCTGTTTCTTCCAGACTCTTGGCCTCTGAGGGTAAATGAACATTGCCTATCATGGAGCTGACCACTGCCTCGGTAAGTCCTTCGTGAGTGAGTTTTCAGCACAGGCTAGGCAGGACGGGGGTATAGGATGCATCTCAACCCTGCCTTTATAAGGTGCTGATGTACCATATATCCCACAACAGCTTCAACAAAGTCATGTGTGTAATATGCATGTTATCACAAAATATCCCTCGAACATACCACTACAGGTTCAATAGGTCCTTTCAGTAGCATATATCGAGTGGCAACCACAGTACCACTTTGTCGCGGTATCCATGTCAGGACACTCCCTGTAGTTACATATTGAAACACAAATCTCAACACAGCCTCATTAGATCCACGGAGTAACATACACCTCACCACAGCCTCAATAGACAGCTTCAGTAGGTTCTTTGTGTAACATACACCTCGCCACAGCTTCAGCAGGTTCTTTGTGTAACATACACCTCGCCACAGCTTCAGTAGGTTCTTTGTGTAACATACACCTCGCCACAGCTTCAGTAGGTTCTTTGTGTAACATACACCTCACCACAGCTTCAGTAGGTTCTTTGTGTAACATACACCTCGCCACAGCTTCAGTAGGTTCTTTGTGTAACATACACCTCGCCACAGCTTCAGTAGGTTCTTTGTGTAACATACACCTCGCCACAGCTTCAGTAGGTTCTTTGTGTAACATACACCTCGCCACACAGGTTCTTTGTGTAACATACACCTCGCCACAGCTTAGGTTCTTTGTGTAACATACACCTCGCCACAGTTCTTGTGTAACATACACACCTCACCACAGCTTCAGTAGGTTCTTTGTGTAACATACACCTCGCCACAGCTTCAGTAGGTTCTTTGTGTAACATACACCTCACCACAGCTTCAGTAGGTTCTTTGTGTAACATACACCTCGCCACAGCTTCAGTAGGTTCTTTGTGTAACATACACCTCGCCACAGCTTCAGCAGGTTCTTTGTGTAACATACACCTCACCACAGCTTCAGCAGGTTCTTTGTGTAACATACACCTCGCCACAGCTTCAGTAGGTTCTTGGTGTAACATACAGCCACAGCTTCAGTAGGTTCTTTGTGTAACATACACCTCACCACAGCTTCAGTAGGTTCTTTGTGTAACATACACCTCACCACAGCTTCAGCAGGTTCTTTGTGTAACATACACCTCGCCACAGCTTCAGCAGGTTCTTTGTGTAACATACACCTCACCACAGCTTCAGCAGGTTCTTTGTGTAACATACACCTCACCACAGTTTCAGCAGGTTCTTTGTGTAACATACACCTCACCACAGTTTCAGCAGGTTCTTCAGTGTAACATACACCTCACCACAGTTTCAGTAGGTTCTTTGTGTAACATACACCTCACCACAGTTTCAGTAGGTTCTTAGTGTAACATACACCTCGCCACCGCTTCAGCAGGTTCTTTGTGTAACATACACCTCACCACAGTTTCAGTAGGTTCTTAGTGTAACATACACCTCACCACAGTTTCAGTAGGTTCTTAGTGTAACATACACCTAACCACAGTTTCAGTAGGTTCTCAGTGTAACATACACCTAACCACAGCTTCAGTAGGTTCTTAGTGTAACATACACCTCACCACAGCTTCAGCAGGTTCTTGGTGTAACATACACCTCACCACAGTTTCAGTAGGTTCTTTGTGTAACATACACCTCACCACAGTTTCAGCAGGTTCTTGGTGTAACATACACCTCACCACCGCTTCAGCAGGTTTTTGTGTAACATACACCTCACCACAGCCAAAGTACAGGTTCTAATATTTTGAGCGATTGTGTCCCACCCGGGATTCGAACTCAAACTCTCAGAGTCAGGCACCTAATCTCTGGCAGTTTAGATTGCCCCTTTTATTAGTTTAATTTGACACGGTTCCCATGACCTATAGCTATAAATACACAATGCCTTTGTTACATTTAGGTAATAGAATTTGTACTTTACTGAGAAAGTGTTATCCCAAATATAACATATGCAATATTTTATGTAATTGTTTTAGATTATTCATATAAGTTTGTTAATCCTTCCATGATCCATTATACGTTTATACTATGATGTGCATCACTATATCACCCAAAAGCCAAAGAGACAATGTAAAATTATCCATATACTTCTCATGCGCTTGTTGTCTAGGTTAAGTACGTTCTTATTGTTGTCATGCCTCATTTGTACACACCACTGTGATGTTACGATTTCAGTCGGACTCGATCACGGAGGATCCATTCGGCCCTGGTCTCTATGACGTCATCCCACGTAACGTCTTTATCACGTTTGGCGTGATCTTTGCCGTCGCGGGCTTCATCGGTAACATCTTCCTCATTCTCATATGCTGTCTTGACGCGGAACTGAGACGCTCATCTAAGCATTTTATCATCACCTGCCTTAGCCTTTTGTGTCTCTTGGAGCAGTGCCTCAGCGCTTTTATCGTGCACACTCACATCTACAATATCGACAACATTGCCGTCACATACGGATGTGGCGTGTCCTTCTTCATCAGTGCCGCTAGCTATATCTCCATTTCCGTCGCTGTCCTCCTGGTCGCTGCGGTTGCCTTTGACTCTGCCCTAACCTTTTGTTTGAACCCTCCAGTAAAACCTACCCTTAGAATTTGCATCGCGTTGGAATGTGTTGTGTTCATCGTCATCGGATCAGCGTTCATGCTGCTGCCGTTAATGAACGTCAGCGCCTACAGCGACATATGCAGCGTGTACATGAAGGAACACTACATGCTGGCGTTGAACGTCATCCACTACATCCCCCAATGTCTGATCCTCTTGCTGGCGAACCTCATCCTGTTCATGTGCTTCAGTCGTAAGATGAGGAGCTGTCCTGACACGACTCTGCGTCATCCCAAGGAGATCTATTTGGCATCTGCCGCTGTGGTCCTGCTGAAACTGCCAGACTTTATATTCTCACTTGGGTTCAATACATGCAATGGAGGGGATTGTTATGGAATGTTGATATTCTGGATCGTCGCGACCTGCACAAGCACCTCCATTTATGTGGCACTACCCTACCTGTGGCTGACAGGCCAGGATACCACGAAAGGGGCAAGAAGGGTACTACTAGGGCGCTGTCTCAGGAAGACCTGTACACGTGATATGTACATTCTCACTAGCCCAGAAGATTTCTAGGATACCACGTAAAACAATATTGCTGTTTCCATGTTGCTGAAACAGCAATTTAGTTTTTTAAATAACGTACCTTCTCCTTATGTGCCTTAGAGTATATATTTAATACGCAGACTTCCACATACGTTTCAACAAAGATAAAATTAACGAGATATTTACAGTCATTTATTTCTTTATAATCAACAATTGCATGATCTCTACTCTATCAGCGCTAAATACCAGTTCTATTTTCTAACAAATGTACGTAATACCTACATATAGTTTTTGTTGCTTAAATTATGACATATAAGGCATCATTCATTGAAATGATACGTGAAGAGCATAGACATAGGTGAGACAAAGTAAGAGCATGTTAACTGTATGTGAAGTTTATCATACCGTTTTTTATTAACGTATTTATTATATAATTTATGTTACCTATGCATTATATATGTGTCATTAATAACGTATCTGTAAGTGTATGGTGATATATATTGATGTACGTCTTTTTGCCTAACCAACATGCGTCACAACACTCGATCGATATGAAATGAAGTATTAAGCAGCGATAAAGAAATGAAACTATTATTTCTGATTTCTGGTGTTGTTTGTTTGCTTGAGTCAGGAAATGAAACTGCTGTGTCAACAAACCGGTTGTGTAGCATGTACAACTGGTACTTGACGACATTCTTACACTGTTCGTAAATCGTGTTGATTTTCAGTGAATCATGTGTATAATTGCCACTGCAATTTTGTATTTTTACGATAAATAAAATATGTTGGCTGGCATTGAATTGGCGTATATATCTGCAACTGGATTTGTCCTGGACCATTTATAACAAGGGCAGGACAATGTTTTGTACATCTTCGTGAAGCGGTGGATATGGACAGGTGGTGTAAATGACAATGGAATGTTACAAATTGTATCTTGGATGACATGTGAAAGCGGTTTACCACGAGACTTAAGCGACGGTCACATCTTACGGACACGCACGTAGTTAACCGTAGTCGGGAATGAACGTAGTAGACCGTAGTGGACCCGTACTTGACCTTAGTTATACGTAGTTATACGTATTTAATCGTAGTTCAAGGTAGATCACCGTGGTTATGATCATACTCTAGCAAACCCATGATTTGGCCGTGGTTAGACCCCAAACGTTTCAACATGTTCCAACTATCTCTACCTGAATGCGAAGACCCTACTGTTACCGTAGTTTGACCGTGGCCGACCCTAGAGCTCCCTAGTAGACCGTGATTGACCCTACTGCACCGCTGTGTTGACCGTAGTACACCGGGGGAGCATGGCATTACGATCAAACTACAATAGAACAACGTATATGACCGTGAGAGGGGTGGATACAGCTTTTTGAGAAAGGGGGTGCACACTCTTGGCGAAAGTAGGGGTGCACACTTCATTTTCACGAGAGTTTCAATGGTCAGTAAATAAACGTTCAGGACAAAAGGGGGTGGGGTGGGGTGCGCAACCCTGCAAATCCCCACACACACACACCACCACCCGATCCGCCTATGCGTAAGATGTGAACGCGCCTCTGACGGGATCAAACGTTTGTTGACACGACAGAACATTACTTGCCAAAACATCATGACATTTAACACACAGTCCATGCTGGAGAACGAACAGTCCCGATTATCCACTGAAACAATCCAGTGGGAGGAATTTTCATCAGATGATAAAAAACAAAATTGTGTACGGTGCCAAAATGAAGCATTATATCAGAAGATAAAACGACGTCCTCTTTGAGATGGAATTTCAGAATCATATGACAAAACCAAAGTTTGTAACCAATGATAAAATATACATTATGTCCGATGCGTAATAGAAATACTGCATCCAGAGACAAAGCAAAATATTGTTTCAGACAACAAAAGAAAACATTGCCTCAGATCACAACACAAATGGTTGTATCAGATGACATATATAAATATCGAAACTTGATACATAACAAAGCTTGTTTGGTCTTACAAGGAACTATTGCTGACTGCGTAGACCCGAACACTATGCAGACTGGCGGTTACATGTAATAGAAAACACACTCTCTGCCTCTGCATAATGGATGAGGACACCACGGCTGTCAGCATTTAACTTCACAATCAATACGCGTTCTGATCTCGGGCACAGCCACTGTAGCAATGCCTTACAGATAAACGACAGAGGTTTACGCAACACAATTTATATCTGAATGTAAAATGTTCTAGTTATAGTATTAATTGGGTACCCTGTCAGCTGCCAATTGCAAGACAATCAATTACGCGTCAATTGATACATTTAACATATTCGCCATACATCGTCAAATCACACACAATATTGATGGGGCTGTTTCAATTAAGCTAAAATATCCCAGTGGATCAAAATAAAACGACACTTTTGAAAATATTCCAAATACACACATTAAGCTACAGAATATTCACATCGATGTGAATTCTGTATGAATATTATTATTGTGTTTTTCGTATATTTCACGCATAATTGTTTTTTTCGTATATTTCACGCATAATTGTTTATGCTTGATTTACATGTCGCTATGCTGGTGGAATTTTACACCACAGCTGTTAAAACACAACTGTGCTGCTTCACGTCTGTATAGCGGGAGTGGAAGCTAATTACACCGCGACTGTCCTGACAGAGCCAGGGAACCATCAGCCACAGTGAACTTCAGGCCAGAACACCGCCTCTGTCTTCCGCTCACAACATTGAGCTGTGCATAGCCCGTCGGTGGAGCTCAGTGCCGTTTGACGATTTTGAGAGAGGATAAAAAGCCCGGAGCTGAAGCTAGCTTATCTAGTCGGAGAAGCTATGGAGCTGCCATCTGTCCCTATCGTTATCTGTAAACAGAACTAGCAGCATCCCCAGAACCGTGCAGCATGGCGGAATCCACAGAGGTAATCTGATGCGGTAGTTTATCGTATTTATTTGCCTGTATATCAGTATGCTTGTCAAGGCTGTTATCTCATTACTGGTGGTGGAAACATCGTTTATCTTTTTGGGTTACGCGTCGAACGTGTGGGTAAACATGAAAGGAAGTTGTATGTTTCATTAATGCTTGGAAAGAGGAACAGCGTTACACCTGTCCGCATTTTGAAGCTCACCTGCTGTAGTCCTGCTGTCGAGTTTCAGAGACGACTTGTACGTACTCTGCACGTTGATCCAATCCCAGTTATAATTACTGGCAAACGTTCAGGGGTTACGATAATAAGATTACATAATATAGCATGCAAACCGACTTATTAAAGAACATTACATGGACATAAACGTTGTGAGTTCTATATCCGGATCTTCTAAACATCACACACAGACAGATAGGGTAAACCTATTTCTGCCTGTTTTCTCCTGATTCAGTATAACTACTCACTGTTATTTAATCATTACAGAGTTGTCATAGGTAGCCATACGTGTACAAAATGCATGTTTTCGACACAGTAGTTAATACGGGCAAGGACAATTATTCACTTGGTATTTTAAAGCAATTGAATTAGATTGTCTGACAGGATGTATGAGGATATTCAGCACACATACAGACAACACTTTAAACACACAACATTGAAATAGATTGGTGATCTGCTATGGGCCTTCTGTACATTTAGCCGTTTAAGGTTCTCATCCACCACGGACCATTATTCTGATATCGATTTTTCAGTTTGAACGTTGTACGTAAGACAGGATGCGAAACTATCTCGGCGTCGTTATGTGTATATTTAGAAGTTGTGACTTCCTTGGGATAACTCGGTCAGTACAGTGCATGTATGTAGATTATTACAACTGATGGGCAACAGTTTCAGAAGCTTGTCACATCAGACCCTGGTCCGTGCTGCTCAGGATGGACTCTAAATGACCAACAGGGATGAGTATGTTTGTTTCGTTGTTTAAACTCTGCATTCACCAGTATTGCAGCTTTCTGTGGACTGCGTATAATCAAGTGATTGGTATTGACAGCAACTACCTTATCGTCCGAGCACAATGATATTAAGTTACCAAGTCACTGTGTCTGACCGCCCGAATCCATTAAGTCGTCTCATCCGAATTCTGATAGAACATGCTAAGAATGCTGCCAATTGGCTTTACCAAACCGTATCTTCATGTCGCTTTTAATGTATTCGGTTTCTGTTGGTATTATCTTGCTATTATGTTTTTACAGCGATTTGTAGATATTTAGTCTGCCCACATCATGCTTTATGTATTATTTTGATTGAGGCCAGAAATTCTATAATAGTACTAGTTTGACTTGATTGCTTTTGATAGTGTGCCAAGTAGGTCCATTAACATCTGACTTCTTGACGTAGATTTGCTACCATAATACGGCAATGTTTTATTATCTATACCGTGTGAAGTACACCGTCAAAACACTTTGCTATTTTTTTTATTGGGAAATGTCTTTGAGTGAGAATTTGATTTTGCTGGTAAAACAGATCCTATGTGTGTGTGTGTTTTGTTTACTTTGGGGTTGGGGGGGGGGTTTGGGTTTTTAGGTATGGGTGTGTAAAGTGAACAATTCAGCATAAAATGACAATATGCATCGTATTTGAAAATGTTCGTACAGAATTCTTTGGGATAACACAATTTACATGTGATGTTAGTGTTAGTATGACTGGACTTCAGATTCCAAGAGTATATCATTTAAATGATATACGAATGTATATCATCTACCAGAACTGCAAATCTATAGTCAGGTCATGTTCTGGTCTATCTCTTGACTGAAACTACAAGAGTACTCAAACCGGGTATCTTCGAGGTTTTAAAAACTGAATTTTCCGTTAATGTACGTATTTTATGTATTTGTTTCTTTTAGTTCAAAACAGCCATATAGTTTCAGAAACTGAAGACTACCAACACATCTAAATACATCGTTGTTATTTTGAATGGAACAATACATGCTCACATTGTAAATATTTAATGCAATATACTTTATTACCTTTCTGTGTAATAATGGTTCTGGTTCATTGTTAACTTACAACTATCATCACGTTTTGATACTGTATTTCCAGTGGAAGAGTATCAAGTGCAAAGTTTGCAACGTTAAATGAACATTTACAATGTCTCCACAATTTATGTTTTTATAAATGGGCACGACGACATTAAACACTTAATTATAAGTCCATTGCCTATATCAACGACCGGATGAGAACAACTGACCATCCTTCAAGAACTAAGTACATGTTTATTGCTCTAGTCAAATATTAGTATTTTGTTCCAACAGTTATTACCTCGGGAGATGGTAAAACAGTTCGATGCACGTATGTTAGGATGTGCAACATGTTTCCGCCAGTCTATGCATCTGATTAACTGAACGTAAAGACGTTCGCGCATTTGTTCTTACATTCGTCCAAACAAACTGAAAAGTCATAATTTGAAACTTGATTTATGACATAATGATGTACTCGATAAGAATCAACAACATCTCATATGATATATCTCATATCTCTTTTGCTGAATGAACTAACGACAGAAGGTGGGATGACGCTACACACATTTGGACACTGAAGAGCAAAAAAGAGTAATATATGTGTTTGTTTTTAAATTGTTATCGATCTTCAAGTTAACAACACGTTTTGAGTTCAAGTGTTTGATCACCAATCAAAAGTATGTTATGATAAGTGTTATGGCACACAGGCAAATTGTTTCGTCAACTACTTTTCGGAGAACTTGTCCTTAGTACAAAATTAAAACTTTTGTTGTTTTAACGTTACGAAAATATGCTCCAGTTATATTTAAAACATTGATAAAATGATTGTGTTAAAGTGGAGTACCAATGTTAAACTGCTGACTGGTTTCTCAGTGGGAAAGAAACTTTGAAACATTTATCCGGACTTGTTCAAATGGACACAGACACACAGAACACACACTAGCACGCATATAGAGATTCACACACACACACACACACACACACACAGACACACAGACACACACAGACACAGACACAGAGTCACACACGTTGCTATATAACTGCAATAGCCTATATCTTTTCTCAAAGGCGTGAAAGAACAGGCATATGGGAATAAATGACGTAATGTTCTAAATGTAAAGCCCACTGGTGTCTCAATAACTCTTGATTGCCAGCCATTAAGTTATTCTGTGGTATCCGGTGGTCAGGCTCGCTGACTTGATGTCGGATGTGCAGTGCGCGAACTTAACAACAAATAATAAGTTTCTCATTATAAATGTATGTACATCAGAATGTACAGCAGATCTACGATTTGCAAGATGACTTATTTGGAAATGGATAAGGAACCTTAGGATAGTTTGTGAAACTGCTTGCATTTTTTCATATTGTGATTATCTTGTTGAAGCGTTTAGAGAATTAGATAAAAATTGACTTTACTACAATAACGTTAATACATGAGGAATAAATCCCATAATTAATGAATTATACCTTTTAATTTTACCTTTCGATTTTAAATTGAGAAGCCTCAGTATGAGGTGATCACGTATGATTAACATCACGAAGATGAGATATAGAGTCGTGCATGCGTGGTAATACAAAGGTTTTATGACCGCCATGACTAATTCAGAAAATGTACGTGTCACACTCCTTCTTAGTTAATTATGGTTCAGTCTACAAACACAATATTTACACGTATTAGAAAGCCCAAACCATCTGTCTGTAATATTACACGTATGAGTGAGGTCTTATTTCATGTTGTTTGTTTCATTATTGGGATTCCACCATGCTTAAAATCAACTTTTTTCCATCTTCCAACACAATGGTGGCAAGGTTACAATATGCTTCTGATGATGGCTAACCATAAGCAAAGTTAGTTTTAAACGAGACAGATGTAACTATTTGGGTTTTTGTAATCTATACAACATCTGCAACATCTACAAAACATATACTGAACCGCAAAAGAAACGTCACCTTTCAAAACCAAATGCAAAATTTTGTTACAAGGTCGTGTTTTTATTATGATTTTACAGTTTTGTTAACATGTTTTTCAATCCAAATTGACAGTTATTACCAACATCAGTGTATTTCCTGATGAAAAAGCATATCGACCAAACGCACCTAAAAGGCAGACGTGGTAAAAGGTTCCTTATGACATTCATGGAAATGAAAATGCACGTGCGTATCGTGACAGACGTACCAATGAAAGCGCGTCCCAAACTCGCCTGAAATCATATTTGTTTTGACACAATCGTCATGGCACGACTTACAAGAGATCAGAGGAACCAAGCCTTGGGACGATTGTAAGTTGGTCAGACTGCAGGGAGGGTAGCCAAACATTTTAATGTTTATGTTAGGACAATCTACCGATTGCAGGAGCAGTATCAGGCCACACTAGCAGCATCCAAGACCGTGTATGGAGTGGACGAATTTCAGTAACATCATAACGTCAAGACCGACAGATTGTGCGCATCCATCTGCAGGATCGCTTCATCAGAGCGACGGACACGGCACGCCAGACAATCAGGACTCAGACCCATTAGTGCCGATATAGTGCGTCGACGTTTGCGCGGAAGAAACCTCTGCTGTCACAGACCATATCGTGGCGCTGTCCTCAACGCTCGTCGCCGCCAAAATCGACTGCAGTGGGCAACTCAGCATCGAAATTGGCGTTATCGACTATGGAGAACTGGGCTTTTTCTGTTGACAGCCGATGGCAGAGTGAGAGTATGGCGAAGGAATGGGGAACGGTTTTCCAGTAAGTGTATTATTGAAAGAGACTCGTAGGGTGGTCCAAGCATCATGGTGTGGGGTGCAATCGGTCCGAACCAGAGAGTTGGCCCCGTGGTGTTCCAGAATCTCGGTCCAGGGCGAGGAAATGACGTGACAGCTGCTCGCTATATTGACCAAGCCATAAGACCTCACGTTGTACCACATTTTGGACGTCACAGAAATCACATTTCCAGCAAGACAACGCTCGTGCCCACACTGCCAAAGTAGCATTGG